CACATATCCCTGCTGTGAGCATTGTGGGTTGGCTTCTGTATTAGTCAGAACTTCTTTGGTTGCAAGTGACAGTGTCCCTCAAAGAGAATTAGGCAAAACGACATAACAATGCCTGTGTGTGTCAGGATTTGTTGGCTGATGTAAGTGAAGGGCTCAAGTGACCAGCTTCAGATTCAGCTGGATCCAGGCCCTCCAAATCCTGGGACTTAGCTCTACTTTCTCTGTGTTGGCATTGTTCCCTGGCAGTCTCTTCTATGTAGTAATCCTGCAGCTCCTGGCTTTCATCCCACGCCTAGACAGCCCCAGAACAAGAAGAGCACCTTTTCCTAAAGGTTCCAGCCAGAGTCCTGATGCTCCTTGGGTCACATGATCTTCCTTCAGCTAACCATGGGGCTCTGGCCAGGCCTAGGTCATGTGTCCACTCTAGGTTTGGGGATTGGGGGTCAGCTCATATAAGTCATATGGCTCAAGAATGGAGAAAAGGGTTCTCTAGAAAGGAATAATATTCTGTGACCATGAGTGGGATAAGGATACGGCTGGACGGGCAAAGGGTGCGGCATCCCCTACTGCGTGAGTTTAATGTCCAGAAGGCGCTAATATCCCCTGTTCCCGAGGTCCTGAGGGGGTGATGCTTTCTCCCAGAATCCTCTGTCCGTCCGTGGTGCTCTGCATCCCCTCTCCCCACTGGACAGCGTACTCCCCTAGGTGGAGGACGCATCCTGCCTGCGGCTCTGGGGCAGGACAGGGCCTGGCCTATGGTGAGCCCTACATGAATACCTAGTACAAGAGAGGGTGTGCACACAAGACAGTGGGGGAGTAGGGGATGTGGGCCTGTCCTTTCTGCCTCTCCCCCAACTCCCCTGCAGCCAGTCCCATCTTTCCGTCACCTGGTACCCTGAGCTGATCACCATGGAGATTGGGGGCTTCCCCTCTCAGGAATCCCCTTTGTCAAACACTAGTGCCCTATTGGCCATATGCATCGCATCTTTCTCTGCTTAGTCATGAAAGCAGGGAGCTGTCATCGCAGGAGGGCAGCCTGAGGGCACGGCAAGTCCATCCTGGCAGGGGGTTGAGGCAGGTGTAAGCTCCTCTGTGTGTGTGTCCCCGCACCTGGGGTGGAGTGGGTGAGTGCTGGATGGTGAACCCACAGCTGGCGTATGGCCTGTGTGGTGAGGCTGGTTGATTAAACTAGACGTTGCTTTGTCCAGCCTGCATTGAGGGATGTGAGCTGTTGGCTGGTCCTAGAGGGTCTGGGGGCCACTGGAGAGTGACCCACTGGGTTGCCCATGCATGTCAGAATCTGCTGGCCAGTGCTGTGTGGTGAGAGCTGCATTCAGCTGTTGGTGGCCGTGCTGACCTGCACGGGCCTGCTAAGGGGCTGCTGGGGTTAATAAAGCCTGTGCCACAGACCCCTGAGCCGGCTTGCTCCCGATTTTCACCTCCTGGGTTCCGGATGTAAGAAAGAGTGTGTGCCCAACCCAGAGTCTGGCAGACTGGAACACGTGTCCTGGCAGCGCCACCGCCATGCTGGGCCCACGCCTGCAACCACTTCTCTGTACCTCAGTTTCCCTATCTAGAAAATGGGGATGACCATGGTCCCTGCCTCACAGGGCCAGGGGTGCTCTGCCATGTGGTGACGTTGTGATGTGATCCCTCCTGTTCTCTGCCCACAGGTGAGTGACGATGGCGGAGAGCACGTGACCTGCACGGACCCTTCTCTGCCCACCGAGTGGCACCATGCAGAAGCCCAGCGGCCTGAAGCCCCCCGGCCGCGGGGGGAAGCACTCAAGTCCCATGGGCCGGACGTCCACTGGATCAACCTCGGCCTCTGCCACTGTGACGGCCACTGGCTCCAAGGAAGGTGTGCAGGGCCAAGGGTGGAGCGGGGGTGGGTAGTGGTTCTTCTGGAAGAGCCAAGGGAACTTGGGCTGCTCCCTGACCAGCCTGGAGGCCAGCAGTTCCCAGAAGTTCTTCTTGATGTCTGACCACATCCCTTTGAAAATTAACGGGCAGGGACACATGCTTTATGTGCAGTTGTTCCTTTTCCCGCTCCTCCAAATTTGGGAGGCGGTACCACTGTTGGCTTCCCTTAGGGATGAGGAAATGGAGGCCCAGGGAGGCATGGCAACTTGCCCACATCGCTCAGCCTGTAAAACACAGCCCGATTCAAACTCCAGCTTCTGCCAGCCTCCCTGCCCCGACTCATTCCCCTTCCAGGGTCTGAAATGATCCCCATCTTCCCATCAGCTTTCTTGTCTACCACCCAGACGTATGCCCTTTGAGCTTTACTTGTGTAACCTCTAGTCCTCCTGCTGGTGGGCAGAGGGTTCCTGGCAGCGCAGGGCAGGGGTAAGGCCAGGTGCTCGGGCTGGATGCACCAGCTCTGAAGGCAGATGGGTTGAGGACAGCTGTTAGCTATTGGCTTTTTCTAGTGATATAAAGTAAGAGAGTCCACTCTGTGATATTTGGAAAGTTTGGTGTAGGGGTAAAATTGCCTATAATCTTCCCTAGAGGTAACTATTACTATTTTGGTTTATATCCTTTCACTTTTTTTTTTTTTTAATATCTTTGCAATCATGCTGCATATACAACTTGAAAATCTGTTTTTTCTTTTTTTATAAATTTATTTTATTTTATTTATTTTATTTTTGGCTGCATTGGGTCTTCTTTGCTGCACGCGGGCTTTCCTCTGGTTGCGTCGAGCGGGGGCTACTCTTCGTTGCGGTGCACGGGCTTCTCATTGCGGCCGCTTCTCTTGTTGCGGAGCTCGGGCTCTAGGCGCGCAGGCTTCAGTAGTTGTGGCACGTGGGCTCAGTAGTTGTGGCTCGCGGGCTGTAGAGCGCCGGCTCAGTAGCTGTGGCACGTGGGCTTAGTTGCTTCCCGGCATGTGGTATCTTCCTGGACCAGGGCTCGAACCCATGTCGCCTGCACTGGCAGGTGGATTCTTAACCACTGCGTCACCAGAGAGGCCCTCTTATTTTTCACTTTGGTAAATAATGCTGTGATGAACATCTTTGGCACAAATTCCCACTTTGACGACACTCCAGCCAGCAGGGTAAGACAGGGTCCATCTCATCTGATTGGCATAGAAGTTTGGAGAGGCAAAACCAGTCACAGGCCAGACTGGGCAATCTGGGCCCTGGGTAGGGTCAAGTGAAGTTTGAGCCAAAGGCACGGGCAGTTGACAGAACCAGGTCCCTGGGAAAGCCAGACAGCTAGCATGGAAAGGTGAGGAAGATGTGTCATGTGGCCCGTGGACTGCCCTGCCTGGTACAGGCTCATGTGGAGGCCCAGACAACCCCTTTCAAGGTGGCAAATCCTCCTTTCCTCATTTCTGAGCCTGAGAAGAACCTAGGCGGGGGAAAAAACAAGGGGGAAGGGCTGTTCCAGGTGAGGGAACAAGTGATGCAAGGACCCTGAGGCAGGAATGGATTGTTCGTTAAAAAAGAGAAAGAAGACAGGTGTGGGTAAAGAGGAGTGTGAAATGAGGTTGGGGAGGGCGGCAGAGGCAGGTGGTGAAGGGCAGGGGGACTGGGTTTGTTTTAAGTGTGATGGAAGCTGTTGGAGGATGTTAGCAAAGATCATCTGCTGGTGTTGGCATCCCTCAGGCCACCAGGCAGAGGGCGGGTTGCGGGGGTTAAGAGCGGGGCTGGGGAGACTGGTGAGGAGGCATGTGGTCACCTGGGCGAGGATGTTTGCCCTCACTGCCAGGGCTGTGGGAGGTGAAGGGGCTGACCACCATGGGTGGGCTGCAGGGAAGACTTCCTGGAGGAAGTGTGAGTGAGTTCAGCCTTAAGGAAGGCGGGAGTGAGTGTAAGTGTGGAGGAGGAGGACGATGTGGGGCCTGGAGACAGAGCATGGGCAGAGGCACCGAGTGGGCCTAGTGGTCTAGAGCGGGTGGGAGTTGTGTATCCCACTGGCTGGAGAAGGGCTCCAGCCAGGCTTGGCCCTGACCCTCTTCTCCACTGGAGAGAACCCCTAGCACCTTCTGGATTCTTTCCTCATTGCCTCCTCTCTGATCCAGAGGGCCTGAGTTCTGCCTCTGATCCAGCTCTAATGTCCCTCCTGTGTGACCTTGGAAGCATTACTTAACCTCTCTGAGCCACAAATGGGATAATGTCATTTCTCTCAGGGAATCAAGTGAGTTAATAAATGAGAAGTGCCTTCAGGCACAAGACTCATTAAAGAGTAATTTCTTTTCCTTTCATCCCTCCATAATCTCATTACAGAAAAATTTGAGTGATAAAAGAAGGAACTCCCATTACCCCTCCATTTAACCTAATCACAGCCACCACTGTGACATATTCCTTCTGGTCTTTTTTCCTGTTCACATGTTGTTGTTTCCAGCAGTTAAGTCATGCTTGTTAAGTTGTATCCAGACTTGCATCCTACTGCTTCACATTTGATTGCGTTCTATGCGAAGTGCCCCCCCCCCCCCCCCCCCCCCAGCCACAAGCAGGGGCCCTGGGCTACCCACACTCCCCCCCGCCCCCGCCGTCCCCGTGCTACGGCAGTGTCCTCTTTGCCATCATTTTGAATGGCTACATCCTGGTCTCTCGAGGGAAGGGGAATGGACCACACTGTGTGGCCTGCTGATCGCCTCCTGGTCACACTGCACGGTGGTCTGGGGGCCGCTGAGGGTGGGGGCTGGGTGGTCTGACTCTGCCTGGACCCCAACCCCGCAGGGCTGTTCCTGTGCCGGGAGAGGAGGTGCCACTCCATGAATGCCCGATTGATCACAGACACGCCCCCTGCCGAGGGACACGGTGGCGGCAAAAGGCTGCAGCTGTGGTTGGTTCCGCCCTCCTTCCCGCTCGGCACCTGCTGCCTTTGCAGGTCTGAGAGAGACAGACCCCCGGGCTGGGGGAGGGAGCAGAGAGCCGGGAGCAGTTGGCCAGGGCAGTGGAGCCCTGTGACAGGGGAAGGGAGATTTCTGCCACCCAGAGCTGCTTTTGTCCCTGCTCCAGGTCTCATAACAAGAGTCCCAGCAGAGGCGGGATGTGTGGCAGCAGCAGGGGAGGACGGTGGCCCCATTCCTGGCCCACAGGCTCCCTCACCCACCCCATGGAACTGGCCATCAGCTCTCCTAGGTGCTGGAGGTGCCCACCCCCATGGGAGGCTGGGAGGCTGGGACTCCGGAGGTGGGTGCTGGAGTACCAAGAGAGGGTCTGGCAGAGGCTGGAGCCTGGTGGTGGTTGGAGGGGGCAGTTGCTCTGGGAATCGGGGCAGTGGCAGCCTCTCAAAGCATGAGCTCAGCCTCCAGGCAGAGGATCTGCCAAGGGTCAGGCCTGGGCTGATGCCTCCACCCCGCCCAGCCTTTGTTGGTTCCCAGAGCCGCAGGACCAGAGGGGCCGTGGGAGGGGGTCTCTTATGCCAGGAGGTGGCCCAGAGGTGGTCAAAGCAGGTGCACAGGAAGGCAGTTTGGGACCCACCAGTGGGCCAAAACCTGGGTGGGGCCTCTAGGTCAGGGGCAGCCCAGCTAGATGGGATGGACCCCCTGGAGGCTGCTTCAGATCAGGCAGTCGGGGCGGGGGAGGGGGTCCTCGCTCAGGCGGTGACACTGGCGTGAAGATCTTAGTGAAAAGCAGGAACCCGCAAGGTCAGGGAAAGGGCATCCAGGCAGAGGCAGTAGTGGCTACAAAAGTCCTGAGTGTTGAGACCTCTAAGGACCGGGATGGATGGAGAGCGGCTTGAGAGGCCTGGGGAGGGTTGTGAATGGGCCGCGGCCGCCGCAGGCGTGGCGGCCAGAAGGGAATTGGGGAGCTGTGACCCAAGCCTCCTGGGGGTTGGGAGCCTATCCTGGGCCTGAGGAAGAGGTTGGGGGCGGAGCTCAGGTCTCCGGGCTGGTGGCCCAAGATGCTGCTGGGGTTAGGCCTTCCCTTTGGGTCAGAAGCAGCCGGCGGTGTTGGACCTGCCGGGCAGTCGTAGGAACCACGGCAGGCTGTGCACAGGAGCCCTTAGTCCTTCCCGGGGTCTGCTTCTGAGCCTCAGGTGGGGGCAGGCCAGGCTAGGCCGTGGGTGTCCCTCTTGGGACAAGAAGGGCTGGCCGCAGGGACCTGGGGAGGGCTTTAGGGACAGGGACAGACCATAGGCCACTGTGAGGTCCCTCCGCCCTTGCCCCGCACTGGGACAGGCAGGGGGGCCCTTGGAGGGCCTCTCCCACCCCTTGCCCTGTGGTCCAGCCCCAGAGATTTCCCATCTAGGGGGGACAGCATTTGACACTTGTGTGTCACAAGCCGGCCCTGCAGCAGGTGTCTTATCACATTTCTTTCTCATTAACAACTGAGTGAGAGAACTGCTCTTCTGTCCATTTGAAAGATGACAAAACTGAGGCTTGGAGGTCTCAGCTGAGTTGCTCAGAGTTACAGGGCCAGAGGGTAGCAGGGCTGGACTTGGTCTAAAGCTGGTTCAGGCTGCTGGCACCTACTGCCCCCAGGGTTGAGGCAGCTGCGGTGGCTGGACTCCTGTCCACTCCCACACTCTGCTCAGGCACCGGCTAGATGGGCAGGGTTGGAGGAGCGATCTGTTCTCGTTAGGTTGGTCACAGCTATCCCCCAGTGTGCTTGTGGCCTTTGCACACATGGCGGACCCAGGAGACAGGAGGTCGAGGATGCATGTGCATGGGCGTCCCCCTCAGAAAAGCAACGGGCCTCTTGGGGCAGGGTCCACTTCCTATATGTTGATCTCCCCCAAGGGGCCCAGAGCTTTGCAGTTCTGGCTTATTGAGCTGGGGCCCGGGTGCTCCCACACCCTGTGGGTGCTCCAGACATGGGAGCCAGCCTGACATGCCCGGGGTGGGGTGTCCCACAGAGCTTCACAGCTGGCCTCTGGTCCTAGACACTGACCCCACTCCACTCCACC